CAGGTCTCCCACACCCACCTCCCCACCAATTTGGATCGCTTGTTGTTCCCTTGTCCCTGGGCTTGTTAACACCTCTTCCCTTCCCCCCACATCCCCCTCTCCCATGTTCCCCTGGAACTGTCAGTCCTGTTGTTTTCTCCTCCAGATTGTTCATCCAGCCTGTTCTATCCAGACAGGCCTGCGGAGACAACAACATGCACAAAAACAAGACAGAACAAAACCAAGCAACAATGTACAACAAAACAGTAACAATATCAAGCCACTGACAAAGAACAAATTAAAACACACCAAGAAAGAAAAGCTTGTAGTTAGTTCAAGGATCGTTGGGAGTCTGGCTATTGTTTTATATAACCTTAATTTTGTGATTTTGATCCCAAGAAGTTACTTATAACAAATTAAAGCATATCTAGCAATTTCATGCTTAATGTGAAAAAATTACTCGTGAATGTTTTATTAATTTTAAATTAATTCATTTGGAAAGGATTTACTAAATATCTGCTACATGTCAGGCTCAGTGCTAGGCACTCAGAATACAGCAGAAGTCATGATAAATATGGTCCAAGTCTTATAGAGGTAATAATGCTCAATGTGGAGACTAAACAATAAACAAACACACAAAACAACTGCAGACAGACCTAGAAGAGAAATACAACAGAGTGACTTTACGCAGGTGCCTTCTTTGGACTGGGATGGTTATGTAGGTCCTCTGAGGAAGATAACTGAGTGAAGATCTTAGGGATGCTGGTATGTCAGTAACTTGACAAACTAAAGAAAAATTCGTATGAATTGTGCTAAGAGATGTACGAGCCCCCAATAAAATGATTTTTAAAATGCTTGATACAATTGATATATGGACTGTTATAAGATCCTCCAATAAAATGATCTTTAAATAAAAAAATTAAAAAAAGAAAAATTCAGGGGGAGAAAACAGCAGTAATAATACATAGGAATAAGAAATTGGAGAGCTACATCGTGGCTCTGTCAGTGGTTCAAACAGTTGCTGCGTGGGGAAAGATGAGGCTATCTGCTCCTATACAGATATGCAGCTTTGGAAACCTTTTAGGGGCTCCAATGAGTTAGAATCAACTCAGCTGCAATGGGTATCAGTGGGTGATTATAGTCAAATTTGGAGCGCAGGGGGAAATATAGGTAGATATAGGCCTTTGATAGTCATCGGCATATTAGGAAACAACAGAGCAATGGGACTGGATATGCTATTGTTGGGGTGGAGGATGTATCACAGAAGAGAAAAGAGGGTCTAGGTTTGAACCCACAATACCATCAGTATTTTATGGGTGGAGATAGTGGGAGAAATCAGTTAAAAAAAAAAATAGAAGAGCCACCAGTGAACAAATGGGAAAGCATGACAGAGCAGTATCATTGGAACTAACCTAATGTTTTAAGACATGAATGGTCAGCTATGTCTAATGCAACTGGGAGTTCAAGTAAGAGAAATGACACTGGAGTATGTCTTTGTTGGCCTTTCAAGAACAGTCTCGATTCACGAGCAAAAGGAGAAGACAGACCGGAGGTGGCTTAAGAGTGACTGACGGAGGACTTCTGGTTTCAAATAATCGCCATGCACCTTCTATCGCAAAGAGTACACAACAACAAAGAAAATGAAAACAGAAACAAACCCCATGTGCAGTGACGACAGAAAGCATCTGTGATCCTGAACCACAGTAACATAAAGCGTATACTGATGAGTTGTAAATCACTTAGTATACAGGAAGGACAGACCCAGATGCCCACGGTGGTCCTGTGGACCCCAGATGGGCTGTGGTGCTATAGAAGGCAAGCATTAAGCGGAGGGTTGTTTGAATCTGTGTAAGAAGCACTCCCAGCTCCCGTTCGGCATAGTCAGATATCTATTCTCCCTCTGCTGTGCAGGGGGAATTGAAGGCTCTGGAGGACATGGAGAAAGAGAGACTGAAGCGAGGAACAGCAGGCACTGCAGATACGGCAAGGGGCTTGAAGCAAGTGGAGGCCCTCAAGTATGTCTCACTGAGGTTTCAACAGGTGGCCAGGGGATTTTGAGGTAGGGGAGATGAGAGCTGAGAGTTTTCCAGACAAGTAAGGAATATACATAGTCAGATTGAAGACAAAAGCTCCAACAAGGACAATAAAATGACATTTACACAGAGATCCACTGTAGTGAAACAAAGAAAGAAATTATTAAAAGCAACTGGAGATAAAAACTGGAGATTTCCCAGGAAGGAAAAAGTCAACTATTAGCAGAGACCAGTAACAAAAAATATCAAATACTTAGCAGTAAGTCTAACAAAAAGATATCAAACATTTGTAGAGAAAATGAGAAACTGTATTAATCGACATTTTGAAAATCGTATTCATGGGAAAAGACACTATACCTCAATGAATGGGAAGATGAAGAATTGTTAAGATGTAATTGCTTCATAAATTAACATACAAGTTCAATAAATTTCCAAATATAATTGCAACAAACTTTTTGTTAGAACATAAAAAGGTCTAAACTTAAAAGATAAACAATGTTGAAAGAAAGAAACAACACAAGAGATTGCAAACATTCTGACATCAATTTTGTAAATGGATATTCCTAAACTATTATCATGAGGTAAAACTATAAAGCTAATCAAGTAGGTGGTATTCACCGGTTTCAGGACACTGAGGGCTTCAGGTAATGACTATGCTCTGAATTGACATAGGCTGTGATTAAAATGTT